GGGATTCTGAGGCACAGGGCTGTTATGAGCTGGACTACACAGTGAGTGCTGTGCCAGCCAGGTACATAACAAATTTCAAAAGGCTAAAAGAGAAGCAAAAGAATAAGACTTTGCCCAATAGTGTTGCCCACCCACAGCCTGCCTTACAGAGATTCTCTTGACATCTTTCCCTAGGATAGTTGATTATGACACTTTTAACCCATCACACTAGTGCAATAGTGGCACAAAAGATATGGGAGAAACCAATGGATATCTGACTGGATTTAAGGCCCACTCCAGGAGGTGAAACTCATGCCTGACACTGCTTGGATGGCTGAGAACGACCAGATGGGCCATGGGTCTAAGGAAAGTTGAATACTGCTGTTCTGCTAAAGGAGCACAGCAATATAATGACTCCTAATGGCATTGTCCTCTTCTCATAGATCAGTGTCTTGCTGAGCCACCATCAGGGAGGCTTCCTTCTGCAGTATATGGGAACAAATACAGAGACTCACAACTAAACAATGTGCAGAGAGTGAGAGACCTTAGAACACTCAGTCCTAAATGGGGTATCTCTATCAAATCCCTCCCCTTAGGGCTCAGGGATCCTTGCAGGAAATAAAGAGGAAAGAGCCAGAAAAAAGACAACAAGAAGCCACAGTGTTTTCCAGACACAACAGGGTTGAGTACACACAAACTCACAAAGATGGTGGCATCATACACAGGTCTAAGCCAGATAACGCCCAGCATTGAGAGGGGAAGTGAACACAAGCTCCTGTCCCTAACCTCAAAGCCATCTCCTATTGACAACCACTCACTAAGTAAAAAATTAGTTTCTCCAACAGAGTCTCGCTGGATATACAAACTATACTTAAGTGCAGGCCCATGCCCAGCAGTAGAAAGCCAACATAAAATGAACTCAATGGTATTGTTAGATGGTTTTTGTTTCATAATACTTTGTCTGGGCATTTTCTAATCTTATAGGCCTTTTGCTTATATGTTTCCAATTTTGTTCTTTTATGGGATTTATGTGTGTGTGTGTGTCTCTGTATGTTTCTTGGGCTTTTTTGGCTCTTTTTTGTTTGTTGGTTTGTTTGTCATATTCTACTTTGTTCAATTGTTTTGTTTAATTGCTTATTTGTTTTCTAATGAGAGAGAAAGGATTGGATTTGGGTGGATGGGGAGGTGGGCAAGATCTGGGAGGAGTTGGGAGAGGAGAAACTGAAATCAGAATATATTATATAAAAACCATTTCAATAGAAATTAATATTACAAATAAAAACTGACACATATGTTCTCCTGAGATTTCCGTTAAAAAGGAGAAAAAGGAAAATGACTAAGTCATGTACAGCTGCTATCATTTCTATTTGGACAGTCAATTCTGAACATTCTCCTGTTGGCCTCAGTGAACACTGGATGGAGCAGAACTGCCCAATCCACTTTTTTCTTGCCCCATGCTGCAAAGCCTTAGCAACCCATTAGGTAGCATGTGAATGTTGTATCAATGCTGCCTGTATCCACATAACAACTGCTTTTATCTCTCTCTCTCTCTGTGTGTGTGTGTGTGTGTGTGTGTGTGTGTGTGTATGCGTGCGCGTGCATGTGCATATGCACACAACTGGGTATGTGCACCTGTACACAGAAGCCAGAAGATGGTGGTGTAGGTCCACCTCTATCATTCCCTGCCTATTCCTTTGAGGTAGGGTCTCTCCCTGAACCTGGTGATAATGTCTACTTGATAGGGTCAGAGCCAACAAGCTCAAGCAAACCATCCTCGCATCTCTACCTGCCTTGGAGCTCGGGTTGCAGGCATTAGCCAATGCCCAGCTTGTTAAGTGGTTGCTGGGATCTGAACTCCAGTCCTCTTGACTACACAGCAAATGCTTCTGTCCAATGTTCTCTCATCTCAAATCACAACTTGTTAAACTGTGTGTTGTAACCTCATAGGGGTTTCATAAGATGAAATGAGCAGATCACCAAAGAAGGCAACTTTTTTAAAGTATCTGAATACTTGATGCCCCAAATTAATGCAAAAGCAAGCATGTCATGAATCTGAAGTGTTTATTGAAGGGCTGCTCTGTGCTGCGTCTCCTGACTGTACTCTAGTCTTGGGTCTGAACACATATGTACATTTTACACTGCACATGCCATCACGCCATGCAACGCTAATAAATGCTTCCTGAAACACCTCTGCTCAGCTTGAGTGCATTGTGTGCTATGAATTGCAGTGTCTTTACTCTACAAAAACATCCTGCTTTTAGAGAAGCATAATGGTTTAATCACAGAAAACAAAAGCTTTTAATGTTTTTCTATCATCATTCTTAGTCTATCGCTACAAAACACTGTTCTGTTGTTTCCTTTACAAAGGAGAACAAAGAAAATGAAAATGAATGAGAGACCATGCAACTAGATCTTAGGATATTTGATTTTTAAAACTGTGGTTTAGTGGGTCTGGAGAGATGGCTCAGTCATTAAGAACACCAACTGTTCTTTTAGAGGGCCCTGGTTCAATTCCCAGCACCCACATGGCAACTCACACTTGTCTGTAACTCCAGTTCCAAGGGCTTCAAAACGTATTAAATGATTTTTGGCTTGAAATTAGCACAGAATATTCAAACTTTCTGGCATGGCCCTGCATGTCAGAACATTTGTGTCATCCAATTGACACAAATATGTAGGATTGGATCCTACATATTCATAGAAAGTGATGTTCTAAGCATGCACAATTATAAAAACAAAATAGTGTTCAACTCTGAAAAACATAAAGGTAGTCTATGTCCAGCAGTATCAAATATTCAAGCAGGGTTTAAATGTTTATGCAAAAACAAACAAGTACATCCATCTCATTACCATGTAAACTTGCTTTTCTCCTTAAGAGTATATGCATATCAAAGAAGTGTTTCCAAGTAGATTTCTTGATGATTTATTATCAATAAATGTTTGGTTTGTATACCTACTTTACATATACATTTATGTATGTACATATGTATGTATGTTATATGTATATTTGCATATATGGTATATGTGTGTATGTATATTCAAATTAATATAAAATTTCTTGGACAAAAATGAGTGATTAGTGAAAAAGTTTAAGAAGCTCTGATTCAATGGCACAAAATATTTGCTAAAAAGACAAAGAAGTATAGTGTAACCAGCCTGTCCTCTAAGCCAGTTCATGAGATAGGTATAAACAACTGGTGATGACAATTACACAACATCAAGTAACTTGTCTCATTTTTTGCAACAACCATAAGTGTGCACACTTGTGTGTGCATGAGTGTGTTTGTGTGTGTGTGTGTGTGTGTGTGTGTGTGTGTGTGTGTGTGTGAGTATGTGTGTACAAAAATCTAGCCAGTGACTGACAGAGGAAATGTGTTCTTCGATCATTTGCCCATCCAAAGTAGACAAAAATCAACAGAATATATTGAATATATTGTTTATTTTACTGATAATTCAGCATAGCTGGGGCACTGAAAAACACCTAAAACAGAAAAATCACCTATCCCGAGACCTGTGCAGCCCACAATATTGGGTAAAGTGATGCCATTCTTGGTTCTGGAACCCACACTTTCTCAGACTGTCCAGCTCTATTTACAAATTCCTGACTCTCCTTTCTCTTTTCTCCAAGTGCATTCAAGCAGAATGCTCTATTGAAAGTGCCCTGCTCTCCTGCATCAGTGTGGCCCTCTCCTGTTGAACACTAAGTCCAAGACCCTCCTTGGGTTTTTAAGCATCTCGTACTTCTCTTTCCACATCCTTGCACCCACAGCACCAGATTGCTTGAGTGCATACTACAACCAGAGCAGGATGCTGTGGGTCCTCCCCTGACGACCTCTATTCCTATACCAGGCAGACACTGGAGTTGAGCCGATCTGGATTGTTTCCTTCTTCTCTACCATTTGTTAGCTATGTGATCCTCTGTGAGCTAGTCCAATTCAGAGACTTTATTCCCTAGCCTAAGAGATGGCACTAACTATAGCAATTTGCTGGACTGGTGAAGACAAAGACACGGGTAAAGCAATCATTACCATACCTGGACCTATTACGGAGGCGATCAACGAATAGTAACCCTTTCTGACCCACTCCCCTTTCCCTCAGTCTGAGCATCCTCTGGGTCCCTTTATTCGCATTGCCATAGACACCCTCATTTTGGCTACACCACCCAGACTGAGAACTTCAGCTACTACATTCTCACACTTGCCCCTATGTATCAAACAGTCGTGTCCAACCTACAGACCCTGGGCTGTCCACCTGTCGCTGAAGATAGCTATGAATGTAGCCCAAACTCAAATAGAAAACAACACATCATCGTGAGATTTGCGGGGAGAGGTAACAGGGCACAAGAGCGGGTAATTGCAAGCATAAAACATCACAGATATAACAAATGTCTGTGTCACAAGGCGAGACATGCCTGGTTAGGCACAGATAATTTAATTGCAGAAATACTTGATTTTTTTTTATGCTGTGCGAGGTAGTACGCAGAAAATTTTCATGTTATTATTACCTGATTCTCACAATACTCCTACAAGTAGACTCCTGTTTCACAGATGAAGAAATGGAGAGTTTTACTTCACCAAAAGTTAGAACATACGAAAATATTAACTCACTCAAAACTGCCTGGATGAGCTTGTGCTTTATTTTCACTGAAAGCAAGGAAGCTGTGGTTTGATTCCTTGTAACTTCCCAGTAAAGTGCACTGCTGAGCGAGTAGCAGGACAGGTGTTACTTAAGGGAATGATGGAAGCTGAAACCTGAAGCCTCTTTGGGCGGGGAGAGTTCTGGACGACTGCACCCAGCTAGAAGCTCCTCTGGCCAGGCGCTGTCTCTCACTTCCAAAGTTGGAGCTCTCCTTGGTGGGAGGGGGCGGGGAGGAGGGGAGGCCAGTGACGTCACACCGCAGCAGGGATAAAACTCCCCGACAGCTTTCCCAGCTAGGTCACAGCCTGGGGAACTAAGTGGATTGTCCGGTTCCGGGACACACAGTGTGCACCCATCGTTGGACCCACTCGGAGGACGGCATCATGCCCCAGAATGTGGTCCTCCCGGGCCCTGCGCCCTGGGGCTTCAGACTCTCAGGAGGCATAGACTTCAACCAGCCTTTGGTCATCACCAGGGTAGGTCTTTTCCGTTCTAATTTTTGCTACAGGTCACCTGGCTTCCCGGGACGCTACAAGTGGCCCTGTTACTAGAGAATAGTCAAGAAGCCCGGGAGGAAGGCAGGATAGTGCAGGGGTGGTGGAGGGCGGGGGAGGTGAGCTTCTGGCTCCCAGTTGGACTTCAGCAACAAGCTGAAATGATGCGAAGCAGTGTTGAGATTTAATCAAGTCAGCTCACACACACACACTGCATACCTTTTTCTTGGTCCCCCAGCCACATTTCCAGGAGAGGGCAACTGACAGTGCAAGTTCCTGGGCTCAGAGGGTACCAGAGCTGGGAGTGCTTTGGGATCTCCCCACACCACTTCTTTTCGTATCAAATAGATGCAGGAGAGAGAAAGAGATACAAAGAACTCTCAGGTATTTGATAAACTTGCAACTGAGCAATTTTCTTGCCTGGATGAGAACTTCAGCAGGGTGCTGTTCGCAGGGCATAGTATGGATTGGCCAAGTTGGAACCACTCATATCAGCCCAGACAGGGAAAATATTACTAATGTGTATTCCTCCGTTTCCAGGCATTTTGAGTAAATATTTTCCAAAGCTGGGAACTTGGCTGAGGGATCATTACCTATAATTCAAACTACAAAGAAAACCTGTGCGATAATTTACCTGACAGAGAACAACACTTAGGCTAATAACTGAAAATAAGACTTCAGTAGCAAAGTGAACTGCCTTGTCCCATGTTATCTAAAGCAGAACCCAAAAAGAAGGGGGGTGTGAAAATAAGCCTGGGGTTCCTTTTCTTCAACTGATTTCTAAAATAACTGTAAGGCATTATTTAGTCTAGTTGCTAGTTTCTCAGTTTGTTTGAAAGCAATCATTTCAGTTACCACATGCAAGCCATTTTAAACATAAAGGCATAAACTTTCCAAATACTGTGATTTTATTTTCTAAATGTTATACTTCTCTTACTGCTCATACTGTATTTTACCAATGTATGCTTTATAATCTGACCAGTCACAGATTTTTGAATAATGCAGCATATGTATGTCAATATCATTTGGGAAGCACTCTGCATGTTTAAAATCTCAGAGCATGTATCATAGGGATGCATGCAATGGGTCATTTGAAGATTTGTTTTACATTTTCCAAAAATATATAAACACATCTGACATGTGTTTTTATATGAGACATGAAAACATACCCCCAGAAATGCTCTTAAGTAAATTAAGCAGCAAATACTTCCGTGGTCTGGGCCAAGCAATTCCTTTTATAGATTTACCAAAGAAAACAGTTTCCACTGTTTCTCCTAAGAAATATGCTTAGTTTATTCTGTTTCACTTGCTCATATTAACTAACAGGAGTTCTTGAATCCTAACAAAGAATAAGTCATATTTAAATTATATCCTAAAGAATAAATTTTGTCATAAAGACCCTTGAAGAAACTTACAAAAGAATTATTCTACAATTAGTCTGTAACATGTCTGTCTAATGAATCATGTGCTTGAAATTTGGGATTGTTGACACTAAAAGCAATGTTATCTTAAAGCAGTCTTACATCTGCTTTTGGACTATGAAGGCTATTGGTGAATGGATTTGATGTAATGACAACTTTATTTGAAGAGCCTTTCTGTCTTGGATTTCTAACTCATATCTAATCTGTGCCACAACTCTAGACACTTGATTCAATAGTAGACCAGACATTATTTATTTGAAGTATGCCTTTTCAATTATTTTTACTTCTAGGGCACAGATAACACTGAACTGTTCTACCCCAATTGTCTCTAAAGCCATGAATATCAGGAATACTTACTGAATGAATGCTTGCCCACTTTTATGCTTTTATGCCTTCATTGAAACTTATTAAGAATATGTCCACTGAAATTACAGAGACATGAGAAATCATTTGGATAAAAAGCAAGAAGAAATTAGTCAAAAATAACTGCTGTTACTACGTAGTGGAATCGTTCTATTTTGTAACTTTGACATTATTCTAGAAGGTATTGGCTAACACCGTGTATACTGTTACATTTTTTGCTTAGTACACATTCTTCTAAAACTCTTATTTTGTTAACTCATTTCAAGTTCACAACATCCCTAGAAGAGCAAAAAGAAAAGGGCCCCCTTTCACAGATTAGAGAAATGAGGCTTCAAGGAGGTCTTCAGGCCACCAATGATCACAAGTGGAGGACCAGGGCCACCCAGCTCCAGTGCCTGTGCTAAGTCTACACATGAGAAAAATGCACTTCACTGTCCCTTATGACATCTAATATGTCAGTGGTCCCGTCTCTTCTCCTGCAAGATCCACCTTCTGTTCTTCTGGCTGCTATCTTTATTCAAGATCTCATAACTTCCTGCCTAGAAACTTGCCTGCCTTCTCCAGTTCACCCCGCATATTCTTACAATCCATCTTTGAAAATTACAAGGAGCCTTTCATCCTCCCCTTAAACATCTTTCGGTGACATCACTAGTTTACAGAGAACAGAAGATGTGTTCTTCAGCATGGCTGTTTCCTATCTGTTGCGACTTCCTTCCCTCTCCCTTTCCTCCTCTCACTCCATACATGGACAGTGATGCCACAGGCTGCTTGTGACCTCCCTAGCATGGCTGAGCTTCAGATCCACATCACTTTCTCCCAGAATTCTTTTCTCTACCCCCACCCCATGGTCCTCTCTGCCTATGAAAACCTATTCAAAACTCCCCCCCCCAGCTCTCCTCTAGTTGTGGTTATTCACTTATTGCATGATCATAGGTTTCTTTTCATCCTCTATTATTATCGCACCTATACCACAGATACTTAAGCACACCCAACTCCATCACTTGATCCTTGAGGGCAGGAACCTTTTATACTGGAAACTGTTCAATACATAGTGCTATCTGATACATCATATATGCTATAAAATAAATGTAACCATAATATGAATGACTGACTTGCTCGCCCTTTACATAACTGTATCACCATAAATAGGTAAATCGTGCTCTCAAAATATTAACTTTACAATAAAGGTAACTGTCTGTTTGGTTAAATTCTTAAAGACACAAAAGACTGAAATGCCAAAAGTCATACTTACTGCCACAAGACGGTCTTTCCATACATGAGAGGTATTTTCATGAGCCATTTAAGTCAGTTTCTGTCCTCCTATAAGCTAGGTTGTATGTACACTTCCTGCCCTGCTGTGTATAAATGCAGACTATAGAGGGTCCTCAATTCATGACACTGCTACTTTACAATGGTATGAAAGTGACACACCTTCAGTTCAGACTATACTTAGAGTTTTGGCATCTGTGCCTGGGCTAACAACTGACAGTGTGTCTTGATGCTGGATAGTGGCACACTAGAGTCAACCACATGACCAGGAGAGCAACAGTGAGCTTCTACAGTGTATTGTACTACATTAGGCTCTACATTAGGCTGTTCAGTAGGCTTGATATATTAAATGTTTGTTCATTTAAGGTGTTTTCAATTGCATAAAGAAGTTACAGTAGATTGGGATGTAACCTCACCCTGCATCAAGGAGCTTCCAAATAGCAGTGCTCCCTAGGAGATGATGGGGCTCCAACCAGAGCTTGTAGGAAGGCTACTGGTGGATAGGGTCTGGGCCAGGACTCCCAACTTCTTGGTCTCTTATCCAAAGAATTGAAAATAGGGGCTCACATGGACTTGCAAAAGTAGCAAGATAACATAATTCTATGTACAGATTAGAGAGGGAGACATTGTCAAAACTGACAGTGAGACATATGAGTGAGACTACTCAAGGGACCCCCCCAATCATTGTTCTGGGCCTCTTTTATGAGATTTAGAAGAAGGAGTTGGTTCCCAAGAGAGGTATCGTTTGGATAGTTCTCTATGTTGATTGATAGGTTAAGACATATATTCATTTTTCCTGCTGTGCATGTCCCTTCCCATAATGCAGCTGACTTTAATTGTATGCATAGCCAATTCTACATACATAGAAGGTGGAAAGTAGGAAACTCCTAAAAGTTTACTAGGAAACACAGTTCTGCCTTATTGTACATGTATCCAAAGCCAGACCAAGGTGGATCAGCCCTTATATTCGAACACATTTGTGATGGAAATAACACTTGAATAGAAACTGTCTAAATTTGGTTGCTACTGGGGGTGAGAAGTAGATTTACTCTCACAGATAAGTCACAAATGGTTGATATTTGTAATATTCCTACATGGAAGTCAGCACAAACTCAAGTTGTTCACATGTCATAAAATGGGTGTATATCTGAGGCTTATATGTCATTTCCTCCCAGCACTTGGGAGGCAGAGGCAGGTGAATCTCTAAGTTTGAGGCCAGCCTGGTCTACAGGGTGAGTTCCAGGACAGGCAAGGGCTACACAGAGAAAACCCTGCCTTGGGGAAAGGAAAGAACTGAAAAATAAAACCCTATGCTTCATTTCACCTCTCTGTTCTCCCAACTGGAGAAAGCATAGTAATAAAAAGCTGTAAGCACACTATAAAGATACAATATAGTAATATAATGATAGAACATTTAAATAAAGCAATAATATATATTAATCATGGACAATGGATTCTTATACCTCAGTAAATGGTTTACCTTACAAAAACCAAGTTGTTAGCAGTCATTTTAGTCACTATTCATTCTAATCTTCCACCTTATAGAACTAGAAAACTACAAACAACAAAGGCCTTGGATGTCTCCTCCTTCTACATCCATTTTCTGCCCAGTCCTGTGGAGGACTAAAAACAGTAATTGCCATGTTGAGAACAAAGTCAGAAGAGGGTTCTTGCCATCACCATCCACATTCCCTCGTTGGCTTCTGTTCTGGTTTTGTTTCTGTTGCTGTGATAAAACACTCTGACCAAAAGCAATACGGGGGTGGGTGGGCAGATCTCAGCGTAACAATTCCAGATCACAGTCTACCACTGCAGGAAGCGAGAGGGAACCAAGGCAAGCCTTCTTCCTATTTCACATAGCATTATGAACTCATTTCACAGCCAAGATATACAGCAGGAAGTATGGAGGAAGCTGCTTGCTAGATGGACAGCTTGTACTTAGCTCGTTTTCCGACTCAGTTCAGGACCACCTGCCAATGGATATCCCTGCTGACAATGACTGGACCTTCCTACATCAATCAACAATCAAGACAATCCCCTACATACATGTCCATGGGTTGATTTAAACTGGGCAATTTCTCCATTGAGGCTGTCCTTTCAGATGACCACGAAGCTCACCAAGCCAGCTTCTGAAATGCCTGATGACATGGTCCTGTAGCTGCTCTTAGCTCAGGGGGAAGCCCTGGATTACTTAGACAGATCTCTTTCTTACAGAAATGAAGCGGCCCTCTCTGCTCAGCCTATCATAGAGCATTGCTAAAAACAATTGAAAACAGTTTTAAAATGCAGCATTTTATATAAAGATAAGATGAAATTGTTAATTTAGTGTTTACTGTTAATAAATTTTACTGTTTTCTAAAATATTCAACTTTGATATCTAATGTCTGTTCAATGCATGAAGTCATTATTTATTACTTGTTCAACATTTAAGTTCTGATATCTGCTTAAATGAGTATAGACATTTAACCTACCCAACAGCACATCTTGCAAGCACAGATACATGTAGACACACATATATACACATTTTTCCATTCCTAATAACCAAAGCTAAAACAAAACAAAACAAAAAAAGTTAACCACTTCCAGATCGGGATTTGGTGTTCTACACTTGAGTCTGTTCAACTGTATTATTAAATGTAAGAGGGCTTTATAAACAAGCACGCTAAGCCTCATTTAATATCTTAAACCAAATGAAGCATTCTGACCTCAGAAGCTTAAAAATAGAAAGTACTGCCCTTGACATTCTATACTGAAAGAATATTAAATGGTTAGGAGAACTTCTAAATGAAAAGTAGATATAAAATAGCCTCCAAGGACTAAGATGTACTAAGTCCAGTTGTCTTCAGCAAGCTTTATCAACTGTTCCCACTAGAAAATCTTCATGACCCAGAAACCAAGCAAGAACAATAAACAATCTAGTGACAGCACTGGAGACCAGGGCATGTGAGAACATACTATTTTTGTAATTTTACTTATTTAAATGGATTTGAATCTCTCTAGAACAAGCAAATAGAAAATAGCAAATTGACTACTAACCCTAGAGTAACATATGAGGAACCACAGAGTTTATTCCTAGAGCAATTTGAAGTTTAAAATAATATTCCTGGGTAATTCTGATTTACAATTGCCAGTCTCCAAACATAATAATGGTAAGCTTACAATAAATGTAAACTGGGCTGGGGTGGTGGCTCTGCAGTAGGAAGAGCACTTGCTGTACAAGCATGAAGATCTGAGTTCAGATCTCCAGCATCCAAGAAAAATTCAATCACAGCTGGACCTGTAACCCAATCACTGTGGAGTGGTGGACACAAGACAGTCACTAGGCCTTCTTACCCAGACAGCCTAGCAGGAAAATGGCAAGTTATGGGTTCAGGAGGAGATCCAGTCTCAAAGTAAATAAGGAAGACACCTGATGCCCTCCTCTGTACCCAGAGCACACATTAGCATATGCACACACATACACATATACAGAGACAGACAGAAAGAGATCACATATATACACACATATACATAATTTGGGGGTACTAGCCTTTGACTCATAAGCCCTGACTTAAATGACCTTTGCACTCATTCTTTAGTTTTCCATCTATTAAATATAAACACCAGGAAATAGACTGTTAAAACTTTGTGGCTTTTGAACAACAAAAATCATTTCTTACAATTCTAAAAGCTAGAAATCTGAAGTTAGGGTACTAACATCATTGGGTCCTTGCAAGGGCTCTCTTCCAGATTTCACATAACCAACTTCTTGTGTTCCTACAGAAAAGGTAGAGAAACAGCAAAGCTATTTCCGAGGTCTGTTTGCAAAGGCACTCATTTCAGTCATGATGGTTCTAGACTGCTGACCCTCCCAAGGGCTTCTCCCCCAAAAGTCATCACTCTGAAAGAAATTCATCATATGAATTTGGGGAATATAAATATCCAATACATGCTACCCCCCTCATGATAATGTTAAAATGAAAACATATCAAGTTGCTAAAGTAGTTTGAATTCAAGTACCAAAGTCACCAAAATTTAGAAAATTCTATCTCCAAATAGAAAGTTCTGGCTAACAAAAAAAAAAATGTATTGGTTTTCAACAAAGAAAATATTCACAGATGTATTTATAGAAAATATTTAGAAGATAACAAGAGATAGAATGAATCTTAAAATATGGCTAGTATGAAACAAAAGTAACATAATAAAATAGCACCAACACAACTGATCAACTGAAAGTACTTTTAAAATTAGGTTTAAGATTTTGCAACATGTGAAACACTGAAAAGTTTGCCAGGATAACATACAAATGTTAAGTCTGAAACTCAAGACACTGCTGGATATTGGATTTTAAATGGTGTCTTGATATATCTTCCAGATCACCCCAGGAAGCAAGGCGGCAGCTGCCAACCTGTGTCCTGGAGATGTCATCCTGGCTATTGATGGCTTTGGTACGGAGTCCATGACCCATGCTGATGCACAGGACAGGATTAAAGCAGCAGGGTATCAACTATGTCTCAAGATTGACAGGTGCGCCTTTGGCTAATGGGGTCAGAACCTGATCTGATTTTCAGAAGAACCTGAACCAGAGCTCTAAATGATCTCATCTTCTTGTGAGAAATGCCAGAGACCTAGAATATTGATCGTTATTTTTCTAATGTATCAGCCACTTTGTTCTTATATTCACTGAAATTGGTCAATCTAGCATGTATGGATGAACCAATTTTAAAAAAATTCTCTGAAATGCCAAAATTAAAATGGTATAAAGGAATGGCTTCTTTATATGGAAGCCCAGTGACTTGACTATGGAAATAATTATAGCCATGAGAACACAAAGCAGAATGAACAGCTGGACCACAGCTCTGTGGGATGGAATAGGATTGAAAATCTCTTGATTTTCCCCAATGTGGCCATGTTAAGTCTGGTTGTTAATATCCTTTATGTTGTAACCTATTTTGTACAGATTCATCCCAAGGGACAAGGCATGTGGAATATATGTGCATATAGAAAATATACAGATATTTTTAGCCTGTCTCCCAAAGTTGAAATTGGAACCCAACTTCTTGTTATGAGAGCCTTGATATGAAGCTGAAAATAATGATATAATAATTGGCTATAGTGGTTGTTCTCATGTGATTATCATGTTGCTTTTGTACCCACAATCATGTCCAATGGCATAGAAGACTCACTCCATTAGCCATTGATAACCTTCATGTAATAAAATAGATTCTTTTCTATCTGTGCCTATGCTTCGGAACCACAGAAGCATAAGAGCTGGACAAACCATGGCTACTTGATGCAGTCACACAGCGGTGTGGCCAATCTCTCCCTGGCTCCTGTGGTGGCTTTAGTAAGACAGAATAGAAAAGAGATCCATGGATGTTGCCACTTGGTATCTGTGGTGTGTCCCTCTACTGTTGTTCCTACACACACTGGAGACATATTTTCTCCAGAAGCCACACCAGGCACTTAATGTATTCTCAAGTCCTCCAAAAGACACTAAAAATACAAGACTAACAGAATGGGTATATACTAAAGAAAAAACTAAATTCTTTTGGTTAAATTAGTGAAGGTTGCTAGAAGTTTTTGCAAATGGAGTGGGAAATAATGTATATTTTTAAAAGGAGTGCCATTTGAATTTAGAGTTTGCAAACTGTTTTATTTGTAGGGCAGAAACCCGCTTATGGTCTCCACAGGTGTCAGAAGATGGAAAAACACATCCTTTCAAAATCAACTTAGAAGCTGAACCACAGGTACGAAGTTAAAAGGAAATGCCATCACATGGCACTTTCATTCAAGGGTGGGGAAGCTTCCTGGGGAAAGAAGTGACAACCCTAAGAATCAGCACAAGTCACCTGCTAAGCCTCAGTTGGACTCTATTCTCTGAGGTTAACTTATATGATTCATGTTTTCTTAAATCCAGGGAAAACCAGAGAGAGTACCTAGGCAAATATCCCTTTAAAAGTCAAGTATATCCTCTGCTGGGCATGTTGGTATATGTCTGCAGTCCCAGAACTTGAGAGACAGAGACAGGATGGCTACAAGGCTAGTGCCAGTCTGGAACAGACTGGAAGTTCCAGGCCAGCCAGGTCACACAAAATGGGGGAAAACATGAATTCTCATTCATGATTTGACTAAATATGCATGGAGTCCACTTTTCTTTTTCTTTTTTTCTTCTTTCTGTTCAGTTCTTGTGATAGACTTCTGCTGAATAAATGGCCATGATATAATCTAATAACTTTAAATTGTTTAAATAAAACAAACATACAAACCAGGCTGGGCCATTTGAATGAAACAGGTGGCTCTAATCTAATAGGTGTTGCAGTCTTCAATTCTGTAAGGTCTTTGCCTAGGTCTTATTTTGACACCCTTCTTTAATTCTCAGTTCTGACATTCTACGATTAAATTTACCTTACCTAAAAAAAAATTGAATTTTGTTATCACAGAGATACGCTGCTCGTGTGGCTGGCTTATGAGAGATAAAGGATTTTTCCCCTGAAGCAACCCTGTCTCCTGAACCACGTTAATCTAATCACCCAAGGCTTATCTAGCTAAGGCCACTTTCAGAACTGCCCTCACCAACTGAAATTGAATCAAACATCAGTTATAATACACTGGGAAAATCTAATTAAGAACAGGGCTTTAGAACCTCTACTTAGAAGTTGCCAAGGCTTAGAGATGCAAAGACACGTGTTTATTATCATCTTTGAAACAAGCTCTCCTAGTAAGATGATAGCTATTGCTAGTGTGCAGTTTTCTATAGACCTAATGAAGACTGTCTGAGAACATATTTATAACTCATGCATCAGCACTCTTCCCCTTGGCAGGTTCATCAGCTCCATGCTTTCTATTTGCCCCAGTAAACGTCTATTATCTCTTCATTAAATAGAGATATCCCAACATAAGTACAAGTGTCTCATAGGCTACTCAAACATTTAAATAAAACAATATAGGCAAAGGCCCCAAGCTAGCCAAATGAGTGGAAATGTTTACACTTAAGTGTTTTCTCCCTTCAGTCCCCAAGGTGTGATCAGAAGCCTCCCCAACTTTCTTGACAGTATGCACCACTGTGTGACAAGGAGTCCCTTCCTCATGGCTATATCAAAGATCATTACAAATCGAGCTCCTTCAAAGTTTCATTTCAGTTAAAATACAGTTCCTTCCCCAGCCCATACAGAAAAGGGAACACAGCTTGTATTCTTTAGAAGGAAGTGTTGTAAGATTCTTCACCTAGCTTTTGACTAAAAGGGAAGAGAATCTGTGCCTAAAACTTATGAGCCCAAAGAAGAGAAAAAGGGCCCCAAAGAAAGCAAGCAGGATACAGGATATTCTCAAGACAGGAGCCATGTTTCTTGTTCTCCTCACTGAGACTTCCCCAGGCGTAGCCAGCAGCAAACACCCAGTATATTGGAGACTAATGCTTGAGAGGGATGGAGGATAAACTGCATTTCCTAGAAATGACCAGGAATAGTCCCTAGGACCAGTTCTCAGAGCAGCTACTGCCTCCAACTGTTAAATTCTCTGTGATCTTGGAAGGTGAGTGGCATATTTAGGTCAGAGAAAACTTCCATTCTTCACAGTAACTGAGCAAACAATGAAAAGGATGGGAGAGGATAATATAGATTGACTATTCCATATAAAACTGCTTAGGACCAGATGCCTTAGGTTAATTTGAAACATTTGTGTATATACACAGTGAGATACTTTACCCAATTGACTCAGTCTAAACACAAAATTCATTTTTGCCTCTTTTACATCTTGACACATAGGCTCAGAGTAATGAGCCCTCCCATTTAGTTGGGACCCATTGCATGAGACCAGACATGGAATTTTCCATTTATCATTGCTCAAAATGTTTCTCTTATTGGAGCAGTTTGAATTTCCGGGTTTAGATTAGAGATGTTCAGCCTGTAAACATAGCGAAAAGATCTAAAAGACATTAGTGGCTCGCCCTGGCATGGTAGGGTCCTGTATGTTGCTAACTGGCAATACCTCAATCGGCACTTAATCTGATACAAGGAGAGACCGGATGAAACACAATATTCTAGATACATGACTGTTGTGTATGCACAGCCCTTGGCAGTAATGCAGATGCCTGCTTACTTCCCATACACATCAGTTTGTTATTTAGAGGCAACAGAAGTGAAAAGGAGACCTGTGTGGCCCTTCTGCATACATCTGTTGACTGTCCAAACACAGAGTTGTTAGAACACTCTGGATGAAATTCCCCCATTTCTTTGTCCACTCACAGTACACATCAATCACTGTATTACATGTACCATTTTGCAAAGTACTTTCCTATTCCAAATGTATCCTTGTTTTTAAAACTCTCCCTCACCAATATGAGATGTAAGATCTGGGGAACTAAACAGGTTCAAGCAATGGGCCAAACCTTGGATGACACTTAACCACAGTTTTCACTCCTACCCCTGTAAAGATTTATTAAACCAAGATATACTTAAGCCATGATGGGAGCCTGTGTTTTGCTACCATCTCTTCAGATTCAGGGTCGATGATAATTCCTGACCTGGAGTGAGAAAAGAGATCTCTCTTGCAAATCTGTATGCATTAATTTATGACTATCACTTTTCCAAGAATTAGCTTCTAAAGCTTAATTCTAATTTTAAATATTCTGGCCTCTTGTTAATCATTTTATTAGCCCAGATATCCTGAACTTAAGGGTTAGAATATACTTTTTTTTATAATTCTTCAAATAGAGAAAAGTAAATGAAAGAAAATGAATTTCTTCCTTTTTTAAGTGAAAAATGTGATGATTAGGTTAACAACTGTAGCAGGCATTCCGATGATGTCTTTTAAAATTCCATTCATTTGAGTCATGCCTAGTCCTTACTGGCTCTCTCTCCAAGAAGCCAGCCTTTGAAGGACTCAGAGATAAGAACAAGTTCAACTCTTGTAATCATCAAAGGGTTTCCCCTTATGCCGCTCTTTAGTCAGATTGCAACATGACTAGTTCACATGACACAGGCATTTGGTCTGTAAGACAGCTTAATTTCAATGTAGCTTTGCCATCTGAAAGTCCTGGTTACAACATAGAGACTTTCTCCCAACAGATTATACATTTGTGGCCTTTGAATATGGAGGGGAAAAAAACTGATTTTTTTTTTTTAAGTAATACACTGCCTTACAAAAAAGATTTACTTTCTCCCCCTTAATGAGGCTATATAAATAAAGCAACTTTCTGGAAAGCAGAGGTGTGTCAGTTGGGGAAACAAATGGCATCAGGGCTACTATTCCTCAAGGCTACTATTCACCTAGGCTACTAGGTGAATGGAAAAATGCCAACAAACAATAGAAAAGTTCAGGTCTTGTTTCTCAACCCAAATTGTTACACTAAGTATTGTAACTTTTGGTATGATATAAAATAGTCTTTCCTATTTAAAACATATTATCTACTTACTGAAAGTGAAACACTATGTACCATTATTTAAGACCAGGGCCAAGAAATAGCATGTTGAGACACATAGTGTTTCTCCATGTAAATTTAGACTTTGGAAACTTTCTTATACAATTATAATAATTGATATAAAATTGTAATGGCTAGATTTTTTAAAAATCTTTCAGTGCTGTCACTAAATATAGCGAAGTTTTGTGTGTATAGACTCAGATTTGAGTCTCAGGCTTCCACAGGACCTTAGAAGTTGTTCAGATCAGTTTCCAGCAACTGAATGAATTCATTCCCCATGAGGCTGGCAGTCTGTAGGAAGGCTCCAGCATATTTCTAAACAAGGCATTGCTCTAGATGGGCATGTTGTTAGTCCTTCTTCAAAGCTTTCTTTCCCAAGCAAACTGTTACTTTCATTCTGCTTAATATCAGCTGGGTAACACAAAGATATGATGTACCTCTCATAGCAAAAAGAGATGCTTTTTAGAAACAAAAAAAAAAAAATGACTCTGTCTAAGCAGGAAGAACATGCCCAGGTCTTTGTGAAGAACTGTGTCCTCCTATTAAAAAGGTACTGACATGTTCAGCCACAGTTTGTTTTCCTAAAACTAACTTCAATCTCCAATGTTTTGGCAACTAGAAGGAGCTGTACAAAGCAAGCTCTCATAAACATTTCCCCTGGCGCTCCTCTAATGGCAAGTAGAAGCACTTGAAGTCCATCACCAGAGGAAAACGATGGTTTCAGAGTGACTTTGCTTTCAATTTGAAGGGTGGGCAGGAGCAGATAGCTTCATACATTCCAGGCGCAAAGATACAGATCCATTGCCTCACTTTGACTTGATCAAATGTTTGCTCGATTCCCATCATTGGTTTCTTGCCTCCCGGTGGTTTTCATATGAAAGATGTAGAGAATGGTGGTAAGTGAGAGAAATGAAGTGTGTGAGTCACACACACACTGCTTCAGATGAAGATGGTAATGACCTTGACACTTCATCTACACCCAACATCATCAAATAAGAAATTGAAGGTGAGCTGACTTCGACTATTGTCCTTGTCTAGGTCATTTCTAGGACATGGGAGGCTACTGCCAAGAGCCCCATTTTTCTGTTATCAGTGGCATTCCATCAGATGCATAACTTTTACCCCAGCTGTTTTAACATTTTACTCCTTCGACATATCATTCCTTAACATAAGCCCCTAACACTTAAAAACCTTATTTTAAAATTGAGAATTAATTTGAATGACTAGTTTTTGTGAAGGTAAGAATTGCTTGATGGTGTCCTCTGTGTATAATAAACACAAACACAGGGTAGAGATATTGCTATATAAAAACTTTGTGTTGCATGTGCTTTTTCAAGAAAAGAGAAAAAAGGAACTAAAGTGGACTAGCAGAACTCTAATTTGGCTTTGTCTTTTGATTCTGTTTGACTATCAACAATGATGTAAGACTTGGACAGAATGCTGCCTCCCTGTACCATCGTTAAATTTCTTGTTTAACTTTGGTGTATACACTTCATTGTGCTTTGGGGAATGACTTTAGAAGCCCAGAAACTAATGTTTCACAAAGCCTAAACAAGGATGTTTTAAGCCAGAGTTAGAAAGACCTCCTTTTATGATGTGAGTGCAAAGTAAGGGGATTTTTCTTTTAACCAATTACACATTTCTAATGTAAGAAAGAGAGAGAAAAACAAGGAGACAAAGAGAAACCAAAACTAAAAGTCACAAAGGGAAAGCTTGGAGCTGGCTAACGTGTGTACTGCCATTTGGAAGTCCGACTGGGGATTCTGAATGCACAAATGCCTTCAGACAAGCTGGTCCATTTGTAGAACAATCACCATGCTTATTCATTATTTAAAGACTTACTAAATAAAAACTGAAGGCAGATACTTTCCCCCATCAAGCAATCATAGTATGTTAATTTAATATTGTAAATATCATATTTCACCAAAGTTTTTAAGACATCTCACACTTCATTCTGAAAAAAAAAAATTAATGAGGTTCCACAAAGCTTGACTGGCTTGTTTTATCCTGACTGACTTACTCTACAATTAGCATGTAAGATTTATAGTCCATCAAAGCTAAATTGGGCAATTAGCCTCTGTCTTCTTCCTATCAAATAGAGCTACAAAGGCTCAAGCCATGAGTATGGTCATTACTCACAATTATTTCCAGCACACTTTTTTTTAAGCCAGAATAATGGTTAATCAAAATGGTAATCACAAAACCGGGCCAATCCGAATTTAAAATCAGCACAACACCCTCGACGGTACAGCTCTGTAAATGTTTGCACACAGTTTTATGTGACTCAAAGCTGGGACATTTCTAAAACTATGTTTGGTGGTTTCAATACTCTTTCCACCGAGTGGCAGCAAGAATAATGTTACCCAACCAATGCCTCAGCATCGAGCTATTTTTGTAGAGGAAAAAAGGTATATGAACAAGGTATTGGTCTAATAATGCTGTACAATCATAGGCTACGTTGTACCCAACTTAAACCTTTTGAGCTTCAGGAGATTGTTAACACATGTGACCCAGCTTGAGGAGACAAAGACCCGGTCCTTCATATCATCACAGGTTCTCGGGTGTCATGACTTTGGGAGCAGATGGAGAAACGACTCAGGAGTTAGTAATTGAAGCTGTGCCCCATTTGCACTGTCCTATTTTTAACATGGTCAATAGGCCTATTTATGGAAACATTTCAAATTATTATGCATTATTTCAAATCTGTGTGCAGCTGACGGCATATTCACAGAAAAAGAATGAAAATTATAAAGATGGATGTAGCTACTTCTGCCAAATGGAATCATTGTACAGAGCACAGTCTCATGAGTATTTCAGCATTCCTACCAGTTTCCTCTGGTGCTTCTAAGACAAAAAGTAACAGCTTTGAAAATTATCTGTGTATTCAAAATGAGAAAACTTTATTCCTACACTTAGATTGTGTCATTTGGGCATGTTTCAAACTCAAGGTTTGAGATGCTGCTGTGTGGTCCTGTTCCTTGGGCAACAGAGTTAAAAAAAATTTGTTTTTAATTACACATGCACACACATACACACATATGTGAACATACATGTGCACACATAGGCACACAACACAATAAATTATAAATGTTGTTTTTTAATGTGAACTTACCAATTCGGCAATTTTCAGGCACACTAAAAACTGTCAGTTTGGTTTCAAAATATGGGGCATTGTCATTGTCATCTTCAACCTTGAATAGCAAGGGGAGAGGGTAGTCTGGGGCGTAGCCATCAGCAGTGGTTGCATATCCATACACCTGGAAGGAAGAATCTCTGGATTCCTTTCATTTATCCTCCAAGACTCCAAGAAAGGGACAACCCTGAAGAGTTCTTTAAATGTACATGTGGAATTATCACAATAAAAGAAAGGAATTCTGCGTATGGTGTTCCTGCTTTCATAAAGTCTTCTCCTTCTCATTGCTTATTAAAAAGTATAGCTGCACTCAAATTAATGGTTTGGGCCTTGTTGCAAATACTTTTTAAAGTACAATAATTTGTGCCTAGATCAGTTTAAATGATTCACTGTAGTTATTCACAACTACTCTTTTGCCGGCTGAATTTTATCCTCTCACTTAAAATGAGGGAAAATTCATTAAGATGTGGTGGGAGCGGGCTTGCCTGGGTTGTGCTGGACCCTGGGTCTGTCACCAGTGTCATAAAAGTGAAAAGGTATTCATAGAGACATGAAACCTCAGCTGGAGAGAGTGTTAAATCTGGTAATTACTTTCTAAGCTAAAAAAAAAAAAAATCTCGTTTCTAACACACTGTTTTTTGAGTTTCATAAAAGAAGTAGATGAAGCCAGAAATGGAGGTCAGACAATGCTTGAATTTTGAGATATCAAATGAGGCCCAGTCCATTGCATCAAACGTTTGGTAAATGAATGTAGCATGTGTACATTGCAGAGATGTGGTAGAAAGATGGGCCCGAAATCCTCTCCTAATCATTTTGCTAATCCTATAGCAGGCAACGATGCCTTAATTAACAACAGCATTGCTGCGGGTTTTGTTCATTAACAGCTGTGTTGTGCGCTCTGTGGCTCTGTGTATTTTGTCTGCCATGTACAGGAATTCAAACCCATTGGTACCGCGCACAACAGAAGGGCCCAGCCTTTCGTTGCAGCAGCAAACATTGATGACAAAAGACAGGTAGTGAGCGCTTCCTATAACTCACCAATTGGGCTCTATTCAACTAGCAATATCCAAGATGCTCTACATGGACAGCTGCGGGGTCTCATCCCCAGTTCACCTCAAACGTAAGTACTGCCGCTCTCTCAGTTCTGGCCAGTGTTCTTCATGACGTGGTTTCTTTCCCAAAGTCTAGCTCTTGCCGGTTCCTCCTTTACTTTCTTGAAGGTACTATCACACTTTTGTTTTTAAAGAGAAGAACTTGGTCCAAATTGTTCTGGAGCCGGGTCAGCCAGTTCCTGAATATTAAGTAGCTACGAGGTTTAAAAAAAAAATCTCTGGTTCCGTCATCACCCTTCTTAGTCATGTCAATGTTTGACGGTAAATCATCCTTTCCAGTTCTCTCGTGCATTAACTTTTACCACCCCCCACTCCAAGGCCAAGCTACCACTGAGGGATTTTCTTTAACCCTTTGTTTTTACAGGATGTGAACTACTTTGAACACAAGCACAATATTCGGCCCAAACCTTTCATAATTCCAGGCCGAACCAGGTCATAAATTCTGAAATTGTGAAGTTTGAAATGCATGTTGCTTTAATCATTTCTTACTAATCTCCTGGAAAAGTAACTTCTAGATGTCTGGAGTGACTTTTTCAAAATTGTGAAGCTGATTTCAAAAGCAAAAGGAAACAACTCCCTTAGCAGCGCACAGTGGCCAGATAGCATCCATCACTGAGGGTAAATACGGACTAGATGGTAGGGCTGTGAAACTTTAGGCGATAGCCCTGTGTATTTATAACTGTGCCCCAGAAGCTCTGCAGATCCCCTCCAGGACACAGTGACCTTTGAGGCAGGCACATGTACCCTGACCCAGGTCAGGAAAGCCCAGCCTACAGAAGAAAAAAAAAAAAAGGAAACCAGCCCCAGGTAGTAGCAAGGGAGAGCCAGGATTGCTGTATGTGTTTGACAGACTCTGGACGCACCTCAGTGCCTGCTTCTCTTTGCACCTTGGAACCCACCATTTTAGCCCTTGTATAAGAACAGCTGTTCAGACCTATGCATCCTTGCAAAGGAAGAAAGGCTCCTTGAGACAGAAACTTTTCTCTCTGGTGAAAATCAATATAAGACGAAAGAAAGAAAGCAGTTACTGTGAGGATTGCTGACTCTCACGAAATACACTATATAAAAAACATAATAGCAATGAAGAAGATCCAAATTCTTTATCTGTCAATCAGAGAAGTGATTATGGCTGCAAAGTCTTTCCAGAATCTTCCTCTAGAGATTGAACTTGAACTTCAGGTGAAAGGAATACCAAAATAGCAACTTTGGGAAACCTCAAACCCATCGATCTGACCTTTGGTTAGTTAATGTAAGGAAGCTGTTGATCAGAATAGGCGGATCCTAACTGGTTAGAAACATTGCAGGATGCTTTGTATCAGGTACCCCAAACCAGTAGCCCATAGGTGAACTCATTCCATGGGCAGGATTTATTTAGCCCTCACATTGTTTGCTTTATTAGGGTTAATTAAATATCTTTACATGCCAATTTATTGAAATTTTCATCACTATTGAGTACATGTTAACTGGCACATTTCATAATTATGTGACTGACCCTATAGTAACTCCTATCGCTAGTAAATCCTTACATAAAAATGATTTTTAAGTGTAGGCCCTTCAGTAAGCTACAGCAAGGGCCAGAAGATTGTCCCCAAATAAACCACACAATTTTCATAATGCCAGACACAGAAAGAAACGGGAATGGGAGAAAGATGCTAAGAAAGCTGGGATGCCACATGAAGTGACTCTGTCGGACTGGCCCCATGCTTTATCCCCAACACCTAGAAATGAGCCTGCAACACCACAGTGCTCATCCTGTGCTCATCCTGTGTGCATTGGAAAAAGGAATAAAATCCTTGGAGGACTCAGCGTTTCCTGTGAGGCACGAAGACTCGGGAGCCACTGTTCCCTCTCCACCGTCCTCTGTGTTACCTTCTCCCTGTTCCTTCTCCTCCTCCATCTTTTCCCTTTCTCCCAACATGACCTCTACACCACTCCACCTTCACTCACATAACACACCATATTTAAAGTTAAAAACACACAGGGCGATGGTGGTGCATGCTTTTAATCCCAGCACTCGGGAGGCAGAGGCCAGTGGATCGATCTCTATGATTTCAAGGCCAGCCTGGTCTGCAGAGCGAGTTCTGAAACAGCCAGGGCCTTACAGAGAAACCCTGTCTTGAAAAAAACAAATTTTAAGTGCCATTTATTACTGAATAATTTATAGCTAAATATATTTAATAAAGACCCAAGACACATTTGGTTGTACAAAATTCAAAGAGTCAGAGGGGCATTCTTCTATGTTTTCATCTTAACTTTAATGTAGTGATAAGGGCAAACTGTTCACAAGTTTGTCACTTAGAAATACATCTTAATACAACAGAATTTTGAAGAAATGAATCTTTTAAACATGGGTAAATAAATAAATAAATAAATAAATAAATAGCAGGTACCTGTATACAGATATTAAAGACTATTGGAAACGCCTCTCTATTCTTCCTTTCTCCCTCTGTGCCCTCACTACTTGCTCTAGCCTCAGAACTTTTTGCTGCCTCCTAGTGATTTTTTTTCATCAAGGTAGAGTTTTGAGGGGCTCCAAATCAAGCTACCACTGCCCTGTGTACAACCTGTTTCATCTGAGGTAAAGCAGGTGTAGGGGATTTATGTCGATGTGCCTGGTACTAGCTCTGGCTCCGTGTGACTGCTCCATCACAGTCAAAGCCATTTAAAGCACCCACATTTTTATATTGAAAGACATGACATTTTAAAGCCAAAGCAATAACTCAAAATATGCACAAGATGTTTTTATAGATCTGGATGTAAAAGTGAAATGTTTATGGGTAGTTTTAAGCAAGTTACATCCAGAAATCAGCCTTCCTCCTCAGAAGTCTGAACACAGTCCCAGGGGAAGTTCCTTGTCTGTAGAAGAGCCCACCTGATTGTGAAGTCATTGAGGTCACTGTCCCCTTTACAGGTGACACTGCCACAGTAGTAAGACAGCCTCAAAGAGATCACACTAGCATTTGCATTCCGGGTCATTAAGAATGAGTCCCTGGACTCATGAGAATATTGCACAGTGCCTAGAGTCCCTGAGAACCATTTTATCTAAATCAGCACAGAAACTCTTTTAACATTATCCTGGACATTTATAAAAGACCACTCTTGTTGGTGTTACATCATTTCCTCCATTTAATAGACATGGGCCCCTAATTTATTAGTCACATGACCCCAATTCAAATGATAACAGAAGGAGAAATAGAAGACACAATCTTTGACAAATTAAAACCATATGCACACATACATCAATATACAATCCCTCATGGCAGTAAAAGATTGCTAATTACAACTCAAAATAAAGCATATCTGTGAGTTCACGTTGATGATAGTGTACCCAGCATCTAGCATCCGGCCTAATGTACAGGAAGCCATGGAAGTTCTAAATCTTTCCTGAACGGGTCTGATATGTTGTTCCCTCAAGATTTAACCTCCCATTTTTCAAGTCCATGAACCTCATTATACTGATCAAATCATTTAATCCCAGCCAAACTGCTCTACAAGAGAAGATTTTCTTCCTGTCTTTTAGCATTTAAAGTCAATTTTAGGAACTGGTGTCAAGCCTAAGGAGAGAAAAATGGTGAATAAGGCCAGATGGCATTTTGGTATGTGACCTAACTAATGTCCCAGCTGGGTTTTAAACAAATTCTCACTAGGTGGAGTGAAAGGGATAATGTAGGAAGTTGGATTGTGCAACACAAGACCCTAAAAAATGACTTATTTATTAACAGTATTGTCCAAACTAACCAAGCTGCAATATTAATTTAAAAAGAATTGCTGCCCAGCATCCTTTTGGGTTTTGGTGTCCATGTGAGGCTGTAGTTGAGTACAGTAGCCCTTTAAAGTAAATGCAGAGATGGGGCCCCATGCTTCCGGGCTGGGATTGTTAACTTTAAGACAATCACATCACTTCCGTGTATGTGTCTCAGGTTCACAGCAACACTAACAGGCCAACATAACATTAATAGCTCAACGTAACTCAGTGATGGAGTGATTACTTACATGCCTGAGGCCAGTACCAAGTTAATTAATATTAATTAATTAACAAATGCATGTCAGTTGTGGCTGGTTGCCAGTTCAATTTCATAAAGATAGCAAATCGCCTTAGGTCTTGATTAGGATGACCAACCTCTGTAATATTTCTGAAGTCCTTATAACTGGTCCTTAAAAGGAAATAAAAATATGCATGGAAATATGTGTGTGTCCAAAATCTTGCATGAAACACCTCTGTACAAAGGAAACAAACTTTAGCCTATAGTAGCACCCAAATAAACCAAGACGAGCTACTTGTTCTTGTAGTCATCAATTGGAAGGTGATAAGCATTTGTTGACTGTTCCTAGTTCCTGTACTAAGTTACAGAACACTTTTTTAAAAGTATATTCTTAACAAAATAAGTAATAATAGATTGAAGTAATAAAGCATTGATAAATATAGCTCAAAAACATAATCTTTATTTAGCTTCACCCATGTTTCCAATTACTATTCAGTCAAGGCTTAACTCTGACTGAAGCATGCTAATTTTGGAATGTTTAGCCTAAATCTTCATGCTACATAGTGCTACTGTTCGTGAAATACCATCCTTTATACTCTAATTATAGAATTTAAAGACACAAAAGGATATCTAGCTAATCTTCCTCCACCATTTACCTGTAATATTGTCAAAAACTAAATTATTTGGCCTGTTTTTTTAAGTGAGAATAGATATTTGTTTTCTACCTGCTCTATGTAATTTTCCTACATGTTAACTCTAACTGGACAGAATCAAGCCAACAAATGCAGTATCTCCTGCAACGTTTTATTTTAAGTGTTTTTAGTGTTTATTTTTTTCATCGTCCCTTTTAGAAACATGGTAGCCAGTGTTTAGACTGATGTGGTCACCACTTCTGTCCCCAATTCCTTCTAACCTATCTGTACTTGTTTTCTGTGTTCTTCTGGTCCCTTGTGTCCTCTCTGTGTAACCTTGTCATTAACACAGTGGCTGCAGCACTCCTTCCGGTATTGACTGTGGCAGTGGACGTAGCACCCCCTCTTCTGTCAGTACTGTTAGTACGATCTGCCCAGGTGACTTGAAAGTTGCTGCTAAGATGGCCCCTAACATTCCTTTGGAAATGGAACTTCCTGGCGTGAAGATTGTACATGCTCAGTTTAATACACCCATGCAGCTGTACTCAGATGACAATATTATGGAAACACTTCAGGGTCAGGTTTCCACAGCTCTAGGGGAGACACCCTCGATGAGGTAATATGAGTCTTTTTGAACCGTGGGCCTATTGACTAAACATCAGCTTTGATGGTGTCTTCTAACATTGTCTTGGTGAAAAGAAAACCACACAAAAGCTTCCAAGAAAAAAAAAAAAACTTATTGCAAACATTGAAGCCTGATGATACATCCTATCTACATAAATAATAGGATAGTGATAAATAAAATGAAATTGCATGAAGACCAAGTGGGTGTCTTTGAAAGTTTCACTGTACTTTATAAATGCCTGACTTAGTATTCTGAGAAATGGCTTGTATCTTTTTCAGGTGAAAAGATGGGGGTGGGGGCGGAAGGGAAGAGTCCAAATGCTATTATGAGGTGATCCTTTCTCTTCCTCTAAGAGGAGTGTGTGGAAAGGATTGTTTTGCCACTTAAAATGTTTGCATTTCATTAAGTTTTTATAAGCAAGTGCTTCAAGCTGTTAGTGAAGATATTCAATTCCCATCAGTCTTGATTTTGACTAGTTTCTTCTTTGTTATTAATGTCTGCTCCAAGTACCTTTGCCACCAAGCTTTTTCAATTAAAAAAATTATTATGGAATAAAATCCCATATCTTCTTTTAGTATTTCAAAATCACTTCCTATAAATTATTGTGATACTTGAAAATGCTATGTAGCAATATCGCAGAGTTGTCTCCAGTGAGTTAATATGAAAGCCATTTTGTAAAGATATATATATATATATATATATATATATATATATAATTATTTTAAAATATAGCAGGTGATAAAATATGCAGATAAATTTCTAGGTGGTACAGTTAACTAACAGAGTATTTAGTGCCTAACAAGTAATATAACATTTTTAATAATTTATTTAACTTTATTTTATGTGCATTGGTGTAAAGGCATCAGATCCCTTGGAACTGGAGTTACAGATAGTTGTGAGCTGTTATGTGGATGCTGGGAATTGAACCCCAGTCCTTTGGAAGAGCAGCTAGTGCTCCTAACCACTGAGCCATCTCTACAGCCCGTAATATAACATTTTTTATTGTTTGTTATTAATATGTTTACTGAAAGCATAGTAAGTAAAACTGCTTTCATGATTATTAATGTGACTATAAAAAATAGAATAGTCAGTTTAGCAAACATTGATGGAAGCTACTGCCCTGTGTGGCTTGAAACAATGTCAGGTGAATTTCGTCAACTGACAAGTTAAACGAAACTTGGTTTTATATCAAAAGGGAGGAATATTTAAACTTCTATGAGTGAGAATAACCAAAATGAGCTCACTCCTGTACTGTGTCTGATGTCTTTTTTTCTGTAAACAAAAGGGAGACAGTTTTGTTCACATCTGTAGTTAAATGGCCATCAGACACAGGTCTTGTTTTTAAATTACCATGTCCAGACAGAAATTGCCTATGTGAATTCACACGTTATTTCTTAAACTGGAGATTCACTTGAGAGTAATCCCTGCCGGGCACTTCCTGTAAGCGGTAGATGATACTTGTTGTCATGTCACCTCATGGGCTCCCGATGACGCATCACCAGCTATATTTGTGTTTCAGTGAACCCACAGCCTCAGTACCCCCTCAGTCGGATGTGTACCGCATGCTCCATGACAATCGGGATGAACCAACTCCTCCCCGCCAGTCCGGCTCCTTCAGGGTGCTCCAGGAACTGGTGAACGACGGGCCTGGTGAGCTTCTACTAGTATCTATTGACATATTTGTAAAGGCCCTCGGATGGCAGTGGAAGAAGAATTAAGCAACAGGGAATGGATTTAGTCATTATTGGTCTGGTTTTAGTCATTATTCAAGTGAGTCTTTGTCTGAAAGATTTAGGGAAAGAACTTTCAGGACATATCCAAGTATTCATGAAATGAGACCACTCATTTAAATAAAAGCACCAAAACCAAATTCTATAGTCAAGGGCCAGCATAGCTTATTAATCATAAGAATTAGTTTTCAACAGATACTAGAAGATTTCTCAGCCTGTTCCTCCCAACTCCTTAAGAGTATTATCAATATCTAGGCAAAAAAAAAAAAAAAAAAAAAGCATGAAATGACTGGGCTATGGTGAGGCACACCTTTAATCCCAGCACTCGGGACTCAGAGGCAGGCAGATTTTTTTAATTCGAGGCCAGCCTAGTCTATAGAGTGAGTTTCAGGACAGGAGGGGTACACAGTGAAACACTATCTCAATACAAACACCAGGACAGCCAGAGCTACACAGAGAAATCCTGTCTTGAAAAACTGAAAAATTTTTTAAAAGCAAGAAATGAAGCCTACTGTGTTCCTCACTCTGGGCAAAGTACCTTGCATAGAGTATTACTAAGTTTTCACAGTAACTCGGGAAGGGAGAAAGTACTATTTGCCCCAACTGACAAATGAGAAACAGAGGTAGAAAAGTGGACTTGGATGAGTTCACACAACCAGTATGGAGGAGAGCTGACCTCTCATCCACCTCTGTTGTCCTCAGGTTTGTACTTCTACCCATGCCTTTTGTCCCCCAAAAGACATAAACTGCCCTTTTAGAGTCATGAAAAAGGCAAAAATGCTTCATTGGAAGGGATACAAAAATGGAAATTAAGTGTTGGTGAAGTTCTAGAAATAATAGCAAACTGTGTACATCCATAGTTTGGATGTAAAAGATGCAACAACTGTGGAAAGCAGGGCAGTTTCTCCTTAGAAAGTTCATTAAGAAATGATCCAGAAATTCCCTGCCTGGACAGACATCTCAAAGCAGAAATGAAAACACACATTTGTGCAATGGTATTCCAGTTATTTACAAGGACTGAGTGGGTGGAAACCATCAAATGTCCATTGAGACCCAAGTGGATAAACAAAATGTGACAACATACCTGGGACTCAATGTTATTCCACCTTTAAAAGGTGTGCAATTCTGACTGATGCAAGAACATAATGAACCTTGAAAAGCATTCTGCTAGGCAAAATAAACCAGACATAAAAGGAAAGTTCTTGATGGTTCTGTTTATATGAGACATCTAGAACAGACAAATTCATAGACAGAAAGTAGAGAAGACGTTTCTAGGGCTGAAAGGGAGGGGAAGAACAGTTCCTGTTTGGTAGTTACACGTTCCCCAGTTTCTGTCTGCAGGTGGTGAAAAGGTGACAAAATATATATACAGTGACATGTAGCAGGTGAGCTCCATTCTCAAAAGTCATTGGAATGGTAAATTTACAACATTTTTCCCCCAAACGACATCAAATGAAAGGTACCCTCTGCTCCTTCGAGCATCTTGCAACAGTTCCCAGCAGCAGATTTTGTAAGTAATTTCATTTTAAAGGGGCCTGTTTCAAACCCAAAACTCTACTGCACCAATGGGCCCTACTCCCTTTGAAACCACGGTGCAGATGCAGCTGAAGAATTCCTTGGGCTAAAGTGCGCACTTTAAAATAGACATTAAAGTGCTCACTTTAAAATAGACTCCAAGTACAAACTGGAGCCAGCTGTTCCCCACCATAAATGGAAACACTTTGTTTTTCAGATGATCGCCCTGCTGGAACAAGAAGTGTGAGGGCTCCGGTTACTAAAGTCCACGGCGGAGCTGGCAGTGCCCCGAGGATGCCGGTCTGTGACAAGTGTGGGAGTGGCATTGTGTACGTCTTACTTTTAACTCGGGAATTCACTTTGAGTATGGTTGGCAGTTTCCCCTTTCTTGTACTTTTAAACCTTTATGTAGAAAAGGCAATTTTGGAAAAGTTAAATTCCTGTTCATTGACTTAAAAATACATCTATAATGCCTTAGCATATTTGGCCAGGGTGCCTTAGTCATAACCTTAAATTGGCATGGAATGTGAGCCTGCAGTCTGTCCCTTCAGAAATACTTTTTCGAAAAAGATTCTGCCCAAATGTGTATATGAAAACAATATCCAAGAATTGCAGAAATTTCCATTTTAAAAGTTAATTCCACTAATATATAATCTTTGAATACTTACTTTTCTATGTGGAAGAGAAACAAATGCAAGGACCATTGGGCTGTGAATTAAAAATGCACTGTGTGACCAATTATTTTAATTATACAAACATCGATATAATTTAAAAAATACAATTGGCTTCTTTCATCAAGAAACTCCATGAGTAAACAGTCACCTTTGCTAAATTCAGATTTTTCAAGCAAGTCCTATAATCTAAAATGTGTTTCATGTGCCCACTTCTCCCATCCCTTTATCCTGTTCCCCCAGCACCAAGTAGAGACAAAATTCTCCCAGTATCCAGGAGAGCAGTGAGGGGAGGGGGTCCTGCTTAGAACAGAGGGAACAGGGTGGAGGGGTAGGAAGAAAAGGGGGTAATTTAACAGTACCTCTGAAAATATACAACTCATGGCATCACCAAAAGTAATTATTGCTCCTAAAAAATAAACAAAACACTAGTGGTGTCCTTGGTTAAAAGTGAGCCACCAGCGGGTGTGCCATCTCTATTCAGTAGAGTAGATGCTAGACCTGGGATAGAAAGTCGGCCGGGGGACTTCCAACTGTGCAGCCCATGGCATGGCTCAAAGTAACGGCATGTATCATGGCTCTCAGTTGGAAGGAAACTGGGGACAGGACATGAGACAGGAACCTCCTGTTCTCTAAGTTATTCGTTTGAGATTCTGAAGACTCTGCACACCTCAGTATCAGAGAGAAAGGTGATGGTGAGGTGGGGGTCATACAAATGCCTGATGTGCACTATGAAACTGTTGAGCTTATGGCAGCATCCCTCCTTTTCTGGACTGGTTTCACCTGTGTCTCTGTACCTGTGTCTTCTCCCTGCAGAGGTGCTGTTGTCAAGGCCCGGGATAAATACCGGCACCCTGAGTGCTTTGTGTGTGCTGACTGTAACCTCAACCTCAAGCAGAAGGGCTACTTCTTCGTGGAGGGGGAGCTGTACTGTGAGACCCACGCGAGAGCCCGTACGAGACCCCCAGAAGGCTATGACACTGTCACTCTGTACCCCAAAGCTTAAGTCCTTTACAGACGAGAACACGCATGCAAGCACCCACGCACACTTACACTGGCCTGTGATATGGATGGCTTTAGCAGAAGGAGCACCAACAGTCACCTCCCAAACTGAAGCCAAGGCTTTTAGGCATGTATCTTATTGTGTAGTGAGGGAAAGAAATGGGAAGGCAAAGGCCCCGCCTAGTGACAAAAACGAGTATTATCTATGGTTTGCAATTCTTTATCTTTGGGGACAGCAATGGTTTTAAGACAAGCTATCCCTCTGGGAGTCAGGGTTTGCTGATTTGACTAGGATGATTACTGATCCAGCAACCCCAGGGATCTGTTCTTCTTTGCATCCCCAGGTGACATTTGAAGCAATAGTGTTTCAATGTTATGCTCCACAATTTCTATCTGTTATACAACCATTGGATGTGTTAACACTCGGATAGTTGGGGCAGTCAAGTTGTTTCTCCTTCAAAATTGCTTTTGATAATTGTAGCAAGTAATGCCAAATAGCAATCTTATATTCTGACAAAATCCACAGGTGTCTGTGTCTGTTTTTTCCTAATGTGCTTGACAGGAAGACACTTCCAGGATTCCTCTGTTGTATATGCAAACAGCTGTACCACTGGATAACACAGGCACAATAAATACGCAAAGGATGTTTTTTATTTCATAGTGAATGGGTAATCAGATGATTACTCTCAGGTTCAAGAGAACCCACTCCTATCTTAGCATGTAAACTAACCAATATTTTAAGAAATCCATGTTTTTGCTGGTTTTTATAGTTCAGTATTTGTGTATATCATAGGGATCGGGACCTATTCATGGGGGGTGGGAGAATGAACAAGTATGACCATGTTTGTGAAGGCCAGAGATCAACCTTCATGTTATTCTTCAGGAGCCATCAACATTTGGTTTTAAGACAAGCTATCCCTCTGGGAGTCAGGGTTTGCTGATTTGACTAGGATGATTACTGATCCAGCAACCCCAGGGATCTGTTCTTCTTTGCATCCCCAGGTGACATTACAAGCAGTTGTCAGCACCTCTGCCTCTATATAAGAATGTTGATGATCAAACTTTGTCCTCCATGCTTGGTAGACAAGTGCTTTGCTGACTGAAATACCTTCCTTGGCTCCCTCACTGTTTCTTATGGGCCCTAAATTTCTGCTGATGGGAGGAGTGTTGAAATTTTCTCATTTCGGGTAATTGGATACATTTCCCATTGTACACTTATTTTTACCTTGTCTGGGGCTCTTGTTATCTTTTAGGTTTAATTATTTTATTGTATGTATATGAATATTTTCCCTGAGAGTATGTATGTGTACCATGTGTGTGCTTAATGCCTACAGAGGTCAGCAGAGAGTGATGGGTCGCCTGGAACTGGAGTTATGGGATGTTATGAGCCACTATGGAGGTGCTAGGCACTAAACCCTGGTCCTCTGCAAGAATGACAAGTGCTCTTCATTAATGAGCTGTGTCTCTATCCCTGAGAATGGGCTCTGTTGATTGAAAAGTCTCTTTCACATAAACATTCAGTGAAATGGAAAGCTCACATTCCCTCGCCATTGTTTTCTCTCTCTGACTCGGCAGCACCCTCTTCTGTACCCCAGGATGACATCTCTTATGAGGGAACCTCCTGGAGAAGGCGGGCACTGCTGCTCCGCTGGGGCTTGCTTATCCCCACTGTCAATCTCCATGCCTTTACTGTGAACTTGCTCTTGACATAGTTCAGTCCAGGCCCTAACCTTGCCTTCTCTGTCACCTCCAAAACTCTTAGCTCAGTCTTCCAAGGAGTCTTGAGTTTGGACGTGAACTCTGGTTGGCCCCTGGCCGGGGCAGTCTGCCATGGAAGTCCTAAGACTCACCTTCCCAGTCACCTAAGGTAGCCCCAATGCAAAGCCCTTGCCTTGTACCTCTCACCTACTTGTCTCACTGGTGGCACTAGGACAGTTCTGAATCTATCTTTTAAAGGTCATACACTGGGGAAGCTCTGAGATGTGACAACGAGAACTGTCTCAAGTAGTCTGCCTTTCACGGTGGGACTCCGTGCATACCTGCTGCAGCTGCTGCTTGTGTCTTCCTCCTGTTGTGTCCAGTAGGAGACACTTGACTGTCTCTAACCCTGGTTTCACCAGAGAATACCTGCCCGACTCCCATAGGCATTTGAGATTGTAACCTCTGCAATAAACACGATTGTTACCAGAGCTATTAAAACTAACAAGTTCTTATTGAGATCTATGCTGTGAATGTATGTAAAATGCATTTCACTTTAGTTCAAAGGTTATCATTACGAATTTATCCTGAAAACAAAGTTTTGGATGGTAGAAAGTAAATGAATGGTAACTGGCTTAGAAAATCTGAGAAAATTAAAACCAAAAAAAAAAAAAAGACAGCAACTGAGAAAATAGAAATACAAATGAATTTGCTTTCTAGACTATTGAAAAGTGTGGGAATTGACAAGGCCAGGCATTCCTGGGCCAGAGGTTAAAGATGGGGCCACCAAAGGAGAAATAAATGGAATCTACTTCAGACACAATTTAAGGGTAGGGACAAAGCTCAATTGATGCAGTTCTTGCTTCCCAAACACAAAGCCCTGGAGTTGATCCTCAGCTTTAACTCAAGTGTGGGATGCACATCTGTAATCCTAGCCCTCAGGAGGCAAAATCATGAAGATCAGAAGTTCAAGGTCATCCTCACTTTCAGGATGGGCTACACAGGGCACTATTTCAAACCACAAACAGCAACAAAGTATTTAGTACCTACATGTCCACACACTCTGAACCCTCAATACTCAAACCCTTCCAGTGAGTTAGTGAGCCTTACAGAGAAAGGAGAAACAGAACACTGTGAACCAGAAAAGGAAGCACAAAGGACGACTGTATACTTGACTGGACATAGAATAAATTAAAACTGAATGGTTCAGGAAGAAACATTAGCCTTTAGTGTACACTGTGGGTTTGGACATTTAATGTCATTTTGCAAACCGGGCATGAGGACATTCATGTCTGTAATCCCAGCAGGAAAGACTGAGACAGAAAGATTATCTTGAGATTGGTGGCTAACCTGGGCTACCCATTGAGGCCTTGTCTCAATGAGTCATTCAATAAACACAGAAATGATGGTGATTTTCTTTAAATTATAGTTCACATATTTTAAATAGAGTAGAGCACATAGTGAATTGCTCACACTCAAGTTTAATAAGAAACTTATTATTATAGTAAAATATGATAGTGTCTGTAAAATCTGAAGTTTCAGAGAGATATGGGTATAATTAGATAATTTAGATTATGATTAAGGCTTCTGAGATATGCCCCAAAACTTAACACACATTATTTAGAATAAATACTATTCTTCAAACAATTACATCTAAAGTTTTAATATGTAGAAGCATTAAATAGAATTAATAAAGAGAAAAGAATGCCATATGAAAACTATTTTAAAATGTGTAAGGTAAGACATAAAAAATACCAATGATAAAAAAATTAAAAAGTTTTTAAAAGCATTTTCTTAAACATTTTGTTTATTATTTTTATGTGTATGGGTCAATTGCCTGAATGTATGTCTGTGTACCACATGTATACAGTGCCTACAGAGGCCAGAAAACGAGTTGGATTTCCTGGAACTAGAGTTACAGATGGTTATGAATTCACCATGTAAGTAAGTCCTGGGGCTCAAACCTGGGTCCTCTTGAAGAGCAGCCAACACTCTTAAACACTGAGCCATTTCTCCAGCCCCAAGAATGATTTAAAGCAAATGAGAAAGAAATATTCTTCTTTTATAATATTTTGTCCTTCAGTAGTGAATTCACACCAGAAATTCTATGTAGAAACTTATGTCATGAACAACAACAACAACCAAAAAAGGACAATTTTGGCTTAGCTTAGAGAAGACTATATTCTCTTAGGGACAAAAAATAGAAAAGCTTGGACATTGTTTAGATTTGCAAGCTGTGGAAAGTCAAATTACTCAACATCATTCACCACCCACGTATTAGCATGTTACTGTGTATTTTTACACCTGTTAAGTAGAGGAACATAAAGCACATTAGTGTCCCCCATTAGCAGCTTACTCATCTCTGCATATGATAAAGCTTCTTGGTTGCCCAACCCAAGAACACCTGAGGTAAGCAGATGCTTGGACCTTTTTATTAACAACTGTAGTTACAAATGTTTGCCATAGGGCTGAAAATATGACTAATTGTCTTGTTTTTACAGAGGCCCCAAGTTCAATTCCCAATACTGTGGATGCACAAATCAAGATTCATGGGACTAGGTTCAATATAGGTTAAATATAATTCTATTCGGGGACAAGTCAGTTACACAAGAAGCAGAAGACTGCCACAAGTTCCCGCTCCAGGCTCTTCTCTATGACCCAGCTGGAAGCCAGAGAGAGCCACCTGTGCTCCGATCCCAGACCTAAAATCACTCTCTGTCAGGTCCGCACCTGTGACGATGTCCATTTGGGCGTGGTCAGCGCTACAGGTGAGAGCTGGGTGGATATCTCACTTCAATTCCCCTTTAGTCTAATCTTTAGTCTAAAGAAAAAGATTTAGGCTTGATACAAAACTATATATAAAGATAGTAAATATCAAGTATGCTCTAGGAGAAGGAAAAGTAAGAACAAACACACTTAAGACCTATTGCCAGAGAAACAACTAGGGCAAATAGCAAGAACTACATTTCCAGTCCTAGGGTAAAGGCATAACAGAGATTGCTATAGAGTTGTCCTAAGCTGGAAAGTTTAAGTCTTGTACCTAATATTTCTATCTAGGAAGAGAGACCAATAATTGTGACAGTCTAATCTTCAATCTTATCAAAGACCTGAGAAGGAAGATAACAATACTAGGGTAAGCAAGAAGTGCAGGCAAGCAACTTCCAAAAGGTATAGGGAAGACAGAAACAGCGGGCTACCTGGACAGTCACCCAAGGTCTCACAGCAGCGTAGGGGCAACCAGCTTTGGCTAAGGCCTAGAGTATCTGACTGCAACACCCATGACAGGCAGCTCAAAACTGCTGTCTC